GAGACAGAACACCTTTCCCAAAGCTGACTTACTCTTTCTGGAACCAGTTGAGCTGATTAACATGGATCCTAAGGCTCCATAAGAACTAGCTTTGTGCTAGTGTGCACCTTGTGCTGATGGCAAAAGGAATGCCATGTTCACACTAAGTGACATTATTTGGCTGTGTGTAAGATACAAATAAAGGTGTTCTTGTTCCAAAGAATTTAATAAAATTAGAAGAGATTAATTATGAGTTGAAACAAGGGTGTGGGCTCAATGTTTTTACTGGAGGAACTCAAACATTTATTTCTCAATAAATACATTAAAGAGTAAATGTAAATCCCTAAACTACTATAAATATTTAATTTTACAGACTGCACAAAAGGTGGCATTTGCTGTGGATACACCCACGTTACTTGAGATAACACCAAGTGGTGAAAGATGAGGCTATGAAAACAAAAAGCAAGAAAAACACCTAAAAGGAGAGCAAGGAGCAAGCAGGCTCCAGCCAGAGGAAGGAAAGTGATGGAGACAGAAGTCTCAAGTTAACAGAGGCAGTGGAGCCTGGGAATGGCCTCCCTCAATTGTTTTGCCACCACACCCATCATAGGCCATCTCTTAGTATCTCTCAAGCTTCCTCTATCAATAAATAAAATAAGGAGACATACTTAAACTAAAAGGTGACTTATATCACTGACAACTAGAACTAAGATAAGGCAAAGATATAGTGGCTTGTGCTAAAAAACAAAATGAACAAGGAAGGGAAAGAAGGACACTGATAAGGAAGAGTCTACAAAGGAGAACAGTAGAGGAAGAAAAATTCAGTCACATGCTCTGCGCCGATTTCAACTTCTGACCTGCTGTGCACTGGTTTGATAAGAAAAATGTTTACACAGTTCTGGAGTGAATATTTAATCTTGTGTTCCAGTACAACTGCCCCATTTCATCTGGAGCACTGCCTCCCAGCATGAGTGAACCAAGATTTGCTATGCAAATACAACTTCACAGATCAAACCCAAGTTCTGCTTTCCTACACACAAAAATAGATGCAATGCCACTTATATACATACAAACACGTGAAATAAAACAATGGTCTCAAACCTTTAAAACTAAGTGTTTCTAAGGTGTACAAAACAGGTGCAACTGTGCACTGCAACTACAACGTTTACTGAAAGTGACTCTACTTAAGTTGCAAACCACTATTGCTGCTGCAAGATGAAATACTGCGTTAACTTCAGAGAATTAAGCACAACATTTTTACAGTACAAATTGCCATCAGTTAAGGAGCCTTTATTGCTGGTTCCAGGATCCCTTGTCAGAGGGCAAGAGGCTCTAAACAAACAGAGAGACATTTTGCAGTGAACTGTATGTCATTGCCCTGAAAGTGAACATCTCTAGGAAGCTTTTGATATCTGCTATAAAATCATTCAAGGGCTTTTGGACACGCACACTGGAAGTTACATTAATTCACTTTTGAACTAAGTGCTGACTGGCAACATATTGGAGTAGGCTTGAAGCACAGAATTATTGTTGATCTTAAGGCATACATTTCATAGAAGTTTAAGTTTCAATAATATAACCCATGGAACATGAATCAATTTTCTTTTTTAATCTAACCTTAAAATTAGATAAAAAGCTACAGGTTTTCACACGATGTCCAAAGATGAATTTCCAAAAACCAAACCAATGCATTAATACTTGCACAGTAGTGGAACTGCCTAAAGCTTTACAGAAATATCCCAAGGTAGGTTCTGCCTAATACTAATGTTTATTGAATTGCAGAAAAACTAAAACTCATAACCAAAACATTTGATTTCTTGAGTCATCTAAAGACAGACATTGAAACCACTGGGTCACTTTGCATTGTATGTTTGAGAAATGAATGAAATACATCCTTTTTTAAAATGGACGCACTTGGTAAAATTAAAACAGCCTGAACTTTTAAATTAGCTTTGGCTATTTAAGAATCAAGTATGAGGACTACTGAATAAGAAAAATGGCATGTTGCCGTTTCACATTCAGCATAAACAGATGGAAGGCTAGCCACTGCACACACACACCATACTACAGACTTGCTCATCAGTTTGATTTTGAGTTAATTCCTACAGCCAGAAACGGATGCTGTGATTCCTTCCTCTGCTGTCCCCCCAGTGTCAGACCACAGCTGGATTCAGCCTCGTGTTCAGCTCACATCTTTTCCATAATGCAGAGAAATCCCTTTTGTTGTTCTTTTCTGCTCTCTTGTGGGGAATTTCTGCAACAACACTTGTGCTGCAAGATTTTACATTCAAAACCATCAGAATGCAATTCTCAACTTGCCTCTTTCCTACTATTTATAAAAGCCTGATAGGCCACTATTTTTATCTCTTAAGATACAAAATGTTGCTTTCCTACAGAAAAGGGCAGATGTCTCTAAAATGCCATCGTTCTGGAACCTATAAATTCAAGATATTTCTCTGGAAGTATTATAAAAACTCAGAATGAGATAAGCGACAAGCCACTTCAAAAAATTGACTCGAATACCTCCAAGCACACTGCCATACACAACATTCGTAGTTAGGCAAAAGGCGCGTGTTTTGTCCAATCCTGAGAGAACAAGATCCTACAGAAAAAGAGTAAGCAAGGAATCTCATCCATTCTAGCCTCCCGTTCCAAGCTCCATGTCACACAAGTACATTTACCTCTTCTATCATAGTGTCCATTGCAGCACAAAGTTCTCCTTTAAGTGTTCCAGTTTCCACCATATTTCTCAGCCGCAAACAGTATTCCCTCATCTGTTTAAAGAGAAAGCAATTTTATTATAAGAGCATGGAAGGTGCCACCTAATCAGTTTCCACAACTTCCTATCTGGTTGTTTCAGGCACCTATTTTACTCTTCATAACATGTTTGCAAAATGAAAAGAAACTTCCTTTCAGAAGGCTTTGTTAGATACTGATTCTTTAAAAAAACAAACACCAAGATAACTGAATTATTTAAAAGATCACAAAAAAAAATCAGAAATTAACAAATATTGCAACTCAAATACTGTTTTCCAACCTCTGATTTGAAGCTTACAGCCAGTAGCTTTTCTTAAGGCTTGACTTCTCTTGGCCCAGTAACTGATGATGCAACATCCCTACGCATTGCCACCTCTGTGACTCACAGGGAACAGACTGTATTCATACTGTAAAATTTGTTTTGCAACTCTAATGCATAATTGATCTCTCGGTTGATAAAAAGAAGGGAGCCTTTCCCCACTGCATGTGGAATTGCAGTAAGAATAGCATGTGCTTCCCATTACTGTCACCATCCATAAGGCCAGGAGCAGTGAGCAGGGCTCCCACAAGACCAGCTGCTTTGCAATGTTCAAGACTAGAGTAACATTAACACTGTCCATTATCTCTCAGCTCATCTCAGCACGTATTTTACAGCTTTTATGTGGATTGCAGCTGGAAATTTTCCCTAAGCCGGTAGCATATGAACTGGAAAAAAATAATTGAAGCCCACTGGAAAAAAAAAATTAATTCTCTCTCATCTAGCTACCTACAGTAGCACCTTCCCAGATTAATTCATTTATGTAGTTCAGGGAGCACGCTTAACACCTTACTTCAGGCAAAGCTGCACACTTCCATACTGAAAGCTGATTTTTTTAAGATTCAGTGCTTTGGAAATACTTTTTTTTTAATTGTTTCCATCAAATTTGGCAGTAATCTCTGGAAACCTTGGCATACTGGTTGATGAAATGCTGAGGGAGGAGAAGAGAGTCACCTAGATGCCAAGTGCTAGTTTTGCAGAAACAGACTTAATCAGCCACACATCAGGAATTAACTTTTCGGAAATCTGAGGATTAGGAACAATCGCGACGAAAAACATGTGAGGTACTTTCAAGTTACTGAAGCCTGGCAATGGCCATCTTCCATAAACACACTTTCCTGATCCATGTTTCAAGGCTACCATCAGACTTTGCTAGGACTTTAGGCTGCTTTTTGAGTAAAAGCAAGTGAATTTGCTGAGGTGCACTTAGCACTTGGGTCAACGAAAAAAAATTGGAAGTGTAGGAACACTTGGAGCAGAGTCATTCCCATCCCCTCCCCTTAACTGCATCATCTGAATCAGTTTTACCTTATGATTCAAGATCTCATTCATCCTTCTAGTAGCCTCAGTGGTGTGAGACTCCGGGAAATATTTCTTGGGGACAACACCATACTTTTCTAAAAGGAAAATAATAAAACTATGGGTTAACAATTGCCTTTTCCAACAGCAGATTCTAGTGCTTCTGCCTATACCCACATAAAAGCTAAATAGAGTTGGGTTTTGTGCAGATTATAAAGGGAAGCCTCTTGTTTAAACATTACAAGTATTCAAAGTTTACACTTTAATTTCTGACTGAATCTTGACCTCTGATCTGCATTCCAGACATCCCAAAAGGTGGAATGCCTGAACAGTTCAGTATTGTTTAATTCAACACTTTTAGAAGTTCTAAACCAATTAGTGCTTTTCAAGATTCTTTTCACCAGAAAAAAAGATTACTTGAAAATTAAGCTCCTGAAATAGCTTCTGAAAAATTTGTCCTCTTCTGAATTATTCCACGTATTTTATCTAATGTTAAGTGACTAACTTCCCTGTCTCCTTTCCTCCTCAACATTTCTAAAACACCAGCAACAGCTCAACTTGCTTCCTACTTTATTGTACCAATCAAAGATCATGGAAGGCTCTGGATGTAACAGCAGCATCCAAAAGTGTTCTCTGCCCTGATTAAATATTTATAACAATAGGATATGGAAAAAAGTAACCTCCAGGCTTCAAAGAAACAAATTCCTTTTGTGATTCTAAAATTATATTATTGGCTTGTTGCTTTACAAAGGCGTCTCATTATTTCGCAATACAAATGAAAGCAAATGACAGTGTAATTCAGACACAGAGAAGCACCTCCTTAAGCAGTGTAAGGAAGATCCCACTTATGCTGGATCTTTGTAAGACCAGCATGGCCACATTCCACATCATTTCCCTCTTGCTGATCTTTATACCATCCTTCTCCAGGCTGCAACTCTCAGATAGTTTTGCTTCTGCCTTGTAGACATACCCTGGTCTAGCAAAGTGTTTTTCCTTACCGTGCACCCTAAAAATTGTATACATGGATATACACAAACCACGTCCAGCTGATGACTAAAGTAAAAAGAGATTGAACCTTTTTACTAAATGGAAAATCAAGGATATCTGATGGCTTCTGTTGATCTTCTGAGCTTCTATCATCAGCAGCAAAATGCAAGAGTGAAGATACCAAATAAGATTTAAGGCTAATATTTATAAGCTAGCATGAAAGAGGTCTTTGTTTACAAAAAAGGTAGTGGCTAATGGCACCACGTTCCTTAGCAAACTCCCAGGTCTCAAACTCAATTTCTTGTTCTATTTCATTCCTTATCTCTCAAACCAGTGTGCAATTTCAGGAAGGGCTCCTAACAACCAATTCTCTTACCAATAATGTTAACCAACATATCCCACTGTCCACCATCATTTGTGGGGTTGGTGAGCAAGTACTGTACCAGTCTTCCTTCCACAGGCTCCTTTTTCTGAGCTGTTTCCACAAAGGCATTTAAGAAGTAGTAACAACGCTCAACCTGGAATGGACAGACAGGAAAAATAGATATTTTAAGTGTAACATTGCACATTAATTCACTCCTGAGTATTCAGTTCTTCAGAAGTCCCAACCAGATGAAGTTGCCTTCTGCTCATCTACAGAAGTTATTTTCCCCACTAGCGTGCCAGGGCTTATCCTATAAACTTATTTTTGTCACAGACTGAGTATTTAGGAGTGAGTTAGCACAGAGCTTGAAGGTAGGGGAACAAGAAATGTGAAACAGAAGTTGTGCAATGAAGCCTGGCCCAAAATAGTACTAGATTTTCTCAGTTTCCTTTAGAGGGATAAGAGCAGGCACACAGCTCACAGATCAGCAGGTGACCAGAATGACTGAAAGCTCAATGGAAAGTCACAGTCATGTTTCCCCTAGGCCTCCGTCAAGTAACCTGAAATACGCACAACACTCGAAACAAGACTTTTACTATCCCAAAACACCAACATCTTCACAACTAAATTCTCAAGCCAAAAGTCCCACTTTGCTCGACTCACATTTAAGATACAAATTTAAAAAACTTTTGGAGTTTCTTCGCATGTACGTTTTCCACCTGGATTGTTAAGACAGTTCAGCCTAAAAGAAATTCTGTCCCACTCCTAATGCCCTAACACAACCTGCGGCCTGTGCTACGGTACCTTATCCCAGAAAAAGAGATACGACTGGCTGAATTCAAACTCTTCAATGTTGTACTTCTTCATGAAAGGAAGACGCATTGCATTGAGGCAGGAAAAGATCCAACATCGCCCTGAGAGATCAAAGGAACAAGAATTAAACCGAAACGTTTCAGAGCTGCGCAAGACTTCTGGGTTTTTAAACACACAATTCATGACACCATTCCGCCTCAAGCCTTTGGCCGGCTGTTCTGGCTGGGATTGCAAAATACAGAGAAAAAAAAAAAGCTCATCAGCAGTTCAGAAACCTTTTCCTGCAAACGCAGGTCTTCCTGCTGGTTTCACCTCACACTTCACAGAAGAGAAGCGAACGCTGCAGACTGTTACCAACTCCAGAGGATGCTGCAGGCATCCCATTTTCTCCGGAGCCCGACGGAAGGACTCCAGCGGCGACCATCGCTCCCGGGAGCGCCGTCAGCATTACATC